TTTAAACAGAAAACCCAGAAGACGCAGACGATATCAGACGAGTTCATCAAAGACTCACACAAAGAATATATAAAACCGGGTAAATTATACACAAACAAGAGAGATAAGTTTGCAATGAAGAATGCGTGTAACGAAGATGCGGTCGCATTTACATTGGATGAATGAATGTGTTTATAGTTGATGCGAAGATTTAAAAAAAGAATATGAAAACCACTCTAAACTGAGCAGCTTAGGATTAAGAATCCGACAAATACGAGGAAAAACGGCGATTGCCTGTATTGTATTGTATTTAACACACGTCTGGATCCAGACTGTGTGCAAAACAAGTTATAGTACAACAATCATTTTAAAAAGTTTTATTTGTTTCCCTAAAATTCTACGTTTGATACCCTGAAACCTAGTTATAATTTGATACTCAATCATACGACGGAAGACAGGGTACAAATGCCATCTTGGACGACCCAAATATTTGATTTTATCCCCGTTCGCCAAGTCACCGGCAAGGTAAACAACAAAATATCTGCAAACATTCAAAGAAACCTCCGAGTGAGCTCGGAAACCCATCAGTAGAATGAACGTTTGATGTATTTCTTTTTAGGGAAAGCTTACAGACAAAATGATGGTGTCGCGATAGGAATCCAAATGGGTCGTGTGCATCTAAAGTTGGTTGCCTCGTACAAATTCATCACTTCGGCTCGGCAATCGCTGTCCCTGTCAAGATTAGTGCAGCAAGTGGAACTTCCAACTCTATTTACGTTATGATTAAACCGTTTGTGCCAGAAACAAGGAAACAATTTGAAATATTTAGCTCCTTAAATGCATGCTGGAGCTGCAGTCTTTGCAAATGTACTTTTTAGTAAATCGTTAATTTGTTACCATTCCATGAACTACCCATCCCAACCACTCCATAATTTACTGGGGAACAATGAGCTATAGAACCAATCCGTGCAATACAACGAAGTAATGAAATAAACCATAAGGAACAGAACTCACAAGTAACCGTTGTCAAGTCCTTACACACCTAATATTCTGAGGAAACTCAATGTATAATAAAATGGAAATCTCTATATCCAGCGATATCTACACAATGATTTAAGGTAATTAATAATGGAAACAGTAACAATAATGAGAAAACAAAGTACCTAGTGTACATATTTACTGATTTGTACCAGATGAAACTTAAATTGAAAGCTTGAAGACAAACCAAAAACTCGCGATTCGTTTACCTGGGACTTCAGACGTCTCAAGAAGAAAGGTTTGAGTAGATTCTTTGCTTGCTCTAATCGTTCCAGTTCAAACTTTGTGCTCTGAGGACTGCTGTTTTCATCGGATGTATTGTTGTTGTTGGCAACCGGTGGTTTCTGGAAACAGGAGAGATATTCAATGTGCTTAAAGAGATAGGAAACAATAACACAAACTAGCAAGTTCAGTTGATTCTGTTTCGGTCGATACGACTATTGCACTTAAGGGCAGCAATTTTGGTTGCTGTCTTTTGGCTAACTTTTTGGTAGAACGACGAAGGGGATGGAAGAAGTACAAAACCGACAGAACAACCCTCGATCATATCACTCAGCCTCCGATTGAAAAGTTTAGCGCGACCCGTATGAAGGACAGCCCTGATTAAGATTCTTATACCCGTATGAGATCTTATCCTAACTTTAGTCTTACTTACCACGTGCGCCGGAAATCATCGCACACGGAGAAAGCCACTGCGGTGTCTCCAGCCACCGCAATCTATGGATAACGAACACGATTAAATGAAACGATAAATCGAATCTTAACATTCCTTATTCGGTTTTTCCACCAAACCCATGCAATGCGGTCTATATAGCGGTAGTTGAAAACCGAAAATACCTTTATCTACCCCAACACCACGAAAAAAGTTAAACGTGGGTATAGCGTGAAGGAGAACCGGACTGACAGCCGCAACATATACCCAACCTTTCATGAACAGTCAAATGTCGCGACGGCGCCACATGTCTCAAGTTGACAAACACCCATCGAACCTTCAAGCGTATTGGCACTTTATCCTATCCTATTCACCTACCAACAGCTGCCCAAACGGAAAAACTTGTCCAAGTTCTCTTTTCCTTACCCCGTAAAAGTGAGGTAGAGCTGCATCAGACCGATTCTGTAAAAGCACTTTACACGTTGAACGTGCAAAATCCATGCGGAACAGTAGTATTTAAAACTTCCGGAAAACTTTGCAGCTTACTTTACCCAACAGTTTAATATCGCCTATGAACTCTAGATCATCCACTTTCTATTGAACATTCTGATAATGCAGTTTAGTTTAGTTTTTATAACAATTAACTGTGCCCTTTTGTGCGCCGGTTTTGGTTGTCATTTCATGACTTTCCATTTGGATGACAGAGAGGAGACGGAAGGAGGTTCCAATCAATGTTAGAATAAAACTAGAGAATTCGTGAAGACAAGCAAATTGAAATGCACAAGCGCCACTGTTAACGATAACCAACCATATCCCTCAGTATCACCAACCATAGATTATCCTGATCCAGAGGTCCACATCTAGGAAGCCTAACGAAATCTATATGACCGAGTTTCCTGGTTAGGGTCTTTGTATCCTCATGTCAAGTATTAGTTTGATTATTATTTACTTTTTTCACTCATCGCCTGCCTCGACAAACAGTGCGGGCCGCGGAGAACTATTAGATGACATGCGCAACACATGCTCCAGCCGACGTAGTCTTTGGAGGCCAACCGCTTACTCCAATGGGCAACCGCGGTTACCCAAAACTGAGCCTAAACTCGGCATTGCTCATCCGGTGTCCTCACCAGACTCGTGCAATGCAACGTAGACACTACTATTCGGGCACCCACGGTCTATCTTCATCTTGTTTTCGAAATGGCCAAGTCTCCACGCCTTATAGCAGAACTGACCGAAATGCTGCCAACTAGACTCTTCAAGGACAGCCGTGTGTCGTGATGGTGCCACAAATGTCTGAAGTTGGCAAATGCCACTCGAACCTTCAGTGTGATGTACGGCAGACGGAAACAAAATCAGCCATGAAGATCTGCTCCTCTCTCAAGAAAGCCAGAAACCTAACCTACGATTGCACGAAGACAGGGCCCATTCCAGAGTTGGAAAGCGCTAACGAATACTATCCGTGGTGAACTCGGTTTCGGTTATTTGCATACAGACTTAAAATTAGTAACGGTAGACAGAAGAAATGTGAATCGGTGAGGAGGGTGGGTAAGTAGATCCCAAGGGCTATTTATGCTCCGAAGTGTTACCTATGAAGACGCACAGTAAAAAACAACTCATTCACAGATTGCAAAATTTACGATACCCAATACCAGTGAAAGCCTTAAACTTCGGATAAATTGGAAAAAACAGCGTAATTAAAAACATTTAAAGTATCTACTCTTTTTTCTTTCTTTGATTCACCATCTTTTCGTTGTGATGTTCCGAATAAAACATTGAACTAATTTTCATACTACTGGTGAGTAGTGACACTCAAAAAGCACTTTTATGTACTGCTGATGTGGAACAGTTAATAAATAGTAAATATACTGCCCTTTGGCGGCTGTTTGGTCAAGCATAAAAATTAGATTGAAGGAACACAGACATACTGAGTACGATGGAAACATGCGTTTGAGCAATTCTGTAGTCCGTCCAAACATTTCCGGCATGACGAAGGCCAACAGTGAGACCAATTCCATCAGATTGTTTTGTAATGGTGTGCCAGTGAGCAGCAAGCGTCTTTGAACATGAAAATTGGCCAGATGTTTATACCGGTGAGACAGCATGTTTTTCAGCATGTGTGCCTCATCAAAAATGCCGTAGTGGAAATTCAGTCGCTTCATGAGGACTCGATCCTCAATAGTGCTGGTGCCCATCACGTAACTGAAATCGAATCATAATTGGATGCCATCAACATTGTGTACGTGTTAGGGTATCATTTCTGAATTTCAACGGTATCTGGTGATCATATTTCATACACGGACACAAAATAAACCAATAGGTTGAATAAGTATGAGACATAAAAAATATTGGTCAACACGTATTGAAAAAAATGAGTGCAATAGTCCGTCAATAGTCCGACTAGTGTTTACCAGCACTTGATCAGATTTCGAGACCGGTCATCAGTATACTTCTGTGAGATGTGGTGAGGCAAGCTGTGATGAACATAAAAGCTTTGTCAACCTAGGAGAATCCCTCTTGATCTCTGGGACACCACCCAGGAAGACGACAATACCCAAAGACTACCAGCGTAAATTATTGTTTTCATCAACCCTTTCAAATGAGGTCACCACTAGCACGACTTTCTGGTCATTTCGAGCATTGGCGAAAAACAGCGGTAAGCTGGTGAGTGGCGTAAACGACGGAATGCTGTGTTTACGAACGTACAGCACAGTTGTAAACTACTCAAGGGATTATGTTTTGCCCGGTTCCGAAAAGTGCGGGATATAGATATACATACATTGAAGAATAATCTCTGAGAAGTTCGAAACGGAAGTGGAAACATCAGATTTGAAACAGCACGCCAGAATATCATGACAACCCTCCCTGATGAGTGAATAGTAACACCAAAAAATGTGTCTGGAGTTAGATGATGAAATGGGGTGAGAGAACTGAGTGAGAAAGAAAATGAGCCTCATGAGAAAGGGAAGTAATGTCGGAGAAAGAAAGAATGAATGTGTAAATCATGTCAAGGATGTGGGTGCGACCATCAATAGTATCAGGGATACGACTGTGGGGGTCAACTATTTGAGGCGACTAATTCGAACACGAATGGTCAAATCAGGCGTTCTCGACGGACTGCTGATGATGGAAAAAGGTGATCTGTCTGTGGACTCAAGCCAATCAAAATAACTAACGACGCAAGGCCTCGAAGAGAATGATGCAACTCCTCGAGATAATCAAGTAATCACCGAGCGACGGAACAAATACGACCCGGCGTCGACGAATATCCTACCAAGGGCATCCATAGAGGCGGTGACAAGCAAAGTAGAAAAGTGATAAGTAAATTTACTTGTTGGTCAAGCACAAACCTATTCTTGAATAAAGTTCTCATATGTGGCTGAACGCTTGCAAAATACAATGGCAGGTAGTAATTGCAAAGCCACTTGGAGCACACCTGCCTTGACACTTGTTATGACTGATGCACTCTGTTCTAGCGTTCATTCTGGAAACAGGGAGTGATTATATTAGAACTCCATTCATCGGTAAGTTTCTGTTTGGGGAACAATTAAGTCTTCTGTAAACTCAATCGCGTTATTATTCCTGAAAGCTGTTTGTGCTTAGAACTTTTACCTCCAGTTTAATCCAAAGTGGAATTCCACGTCATCAACCCGATGATTTTCGCTGGTTTCCGAACTTTTGCATCAATTTACAAGAGTGTGCGCCCCATCGAACCCCAAAACTAAACACCGTATTTTCGCATTGTGGTAGCCGTTGTTGTTACGGGCCACGGATTTCTCTGTCGGAATTGTGTCTAGCTTTGTTCGTGTTAGGGGGATGTCAAATTAGGAGCTTTTTATGATCATCATCATAGTCTGAGAATCTGAGTAGTAGCCGTATCGATCATTCATTGTGTTGTGAGATGCTACTCACTTGTGAGTAGTAGGTAACATAGTTGGTGATTACTTTCAACGATCAAAAATTGACAAGATCACCGAGGGCAAATTGCTGTACCTCAGAGAATAACTATCGATTGCTACGTTCATTATCCGTCGTGCGGCCGGGAACTGCTATGGTATGTTTGTGGTGAGATTTTCTGTGTTATGTATGCCAAATGACTGATGTCTCATCTGTGATCCTCAATAAACGACTATATTCAACCGAGCACCGCCTTCCGGAATTATAACACTTGTACTTTGGTCATTTATTTTGTGGGGCCTCTCAGGGAGACTTGCTTTGTGTTCACTGCAGTAATCTGTGTGATCCCTGGAGCAAACAGTGGTCTTTGTGCTCCGATAGATGACAACAGTGTCTTATTGCCATATGGTGACAGGCAGCTTTTGAAAGCTAAGGCTAGTGTCGTTTTCTCTTGAGATGAGCGAGTATCGACAACAACCTCAACGGACATAGTATCGAGCACTAGGCACTTTACAAGACACCATATAAAGTCTTAATCAGTTAATTGGAATGTAGCTTTTAACTAAGGATGATCATTAGTTGAAATCTGGGTAGTCCAGTTGAGTACCATATATATAAAGAAAAAAATCAACGAAAAAAATTATGTGAAGGGTCTCAGGGATAGAAACTCACCTCGTGAGAAGAACATTGAACTCAGGTGCAGTACTATCGTAAATACTGAGACGCATGGCTTTCCGTTGTTCAACAGATCCTTGATAAACTAAAACCTTCAAGTGAGGGCACCAATCAGCCAATTCTCTTTGCCAGTTGGCCTGTGTAGAACTAGGACAAATGATGAGGTGCGGGCCTCGGTCTCCATTCTCCCTTAGGCTGGCAAGGAATGCGATCGCCTGTATGGTTTTACCCAAACCCATTTCGTCCGCTAGAATTCCGTTGACTTTTTCTTGGTGCAGTAGTCGCAACCAGTTCAATCCAACCAACTGATAGGGTTTTAGCTCGCGTCTGAAAATAAAACAAAAATAAGCATCAAAATCGAGTGCACTTTAAAGAGGATATCATTTAATCGCTCAAGTAAGCTACTGAGAGCCAGTCGGAGTGGTCAAAGTAAATAGCGCGTCGAATTGCCAACCCCCCCTAGTCCTTGTTTAAATCTCAGAGGACTGGGGGAATATGCAAGGAAGATGGAGCATCTATGAAGTGGTTCTAAGACNCTAAGACCCCTTAGCGGTGAGTAACGTTAGCACTACATGACGGATGTATATACACGATTTTTTTTAAATTTTACTTCTTTTTATTGAATTTACAAAGGTACAATTTCAGGAAGGAGGAGGCGACCAATCAAAGGGCTGCCATTCAACAGACAGTGGTGATAGTGGGATTGGAACGCATTCCCGAGGTGATAATTTGGTGACGTTACCACGGGGCCACTACCACCCAGATCTGCTCCGAATGTCCATAATCACCATAAAATCCAAGAAAACGCATTCAGATAGTGTCCTGTTGATGGATCAATGAAGATAATTTGGGCATTAACCGATTATCTTATTAGCTTCATACGCCAAAAAGCTACCGGTTTCAACAGACTTCTCGGTTGCTTGCATACAAATTGCGTAAAGCAAATATTATTAACTACCGAGGCAACCCGATTTATTTGAAGTAAACTCAACAGTAGGTCGAGACCGTTGAGAAGAGACATCGACGTTTCGTTCTGTAGCTGTTGACCCGCGCTGAACCGTTGAGACGTACGGCGCACAGTCGGTTACTGACTGGAGTCCAGTCGAGAAGCGAGCGTTCAGCCTTGGTACTTAGTGCAATCCCAACACCAGTAACACCGCGAGCTTCGGACGCCGAATCGCCTGACACACGAAGGATGAAGCGTGAGGTTGAGGTTGGATCAGGAGAACGCAGAGAGATAATGGAAGTGGGGCCTTGTATTCGTGTTTCCGAGACACAATATACATGTGAATTGAAAGTTTGAAGGGTTCTAGCTAAGGAAGCTTGTGGACCGATCTGGTAGTGTGTGAACATGGAGTGCAGCTAAGTGAAAAGGAATTTCGGCTTCGAAAATCCTGTTACTTTTGAATGTTTGAACTGGTTGGTAAAACGTTGAGCGATATCCGATGGGTCTTGTAAACAGCAGGCGTTGGGGAGTATTCGGGATTGAGAGGAAGAACTAGACAGATAGGAAGGAGGGTCTTACAAATGGGTGCCTAAGACTTTAGGGCACGACATACTTCGCGGTAGCCCACACCGACGAAGGGGTTTTTCCTTGCAAACCCTAGTCGGAGCTTTTGACTCAAAAGTCTGAGCCGTAAGGTAGCGGGAAGGTCCAGACCATGGATAAACCTACTGAATATGCAGCAGAGTCCATGTCGAATCATTTTTAAAATGGTGGAAGGGTCTAGAACTACAAAAAGAATGGTGTTTAGCGTCAACACATTGAGCGAAATTTGGTATATTTGGGTTTGTTCATCGGATAATTTCTTGTTACAGGTTGGAAGAAGCGATAAAGAAAGCGGGTTGAGTATGGACGACAGAGAATTCAAAATAGATTGGGATTTCTGAACAGTAGTCTCGTTATCACAACCCACCCCATTCGATGCAATGGGCAGCGCGGTCTTGATGATACTGCGCGACGACCGGTGCGGTATGCAATTCCCCGTACTTTGTGTATGAATTGCAGTTTAATGGACGAGTACCGCTAGGGTGTCCAGGAAAACGATTACGGTTTTCAATCAAAGCCTTTAGTCGTGACAAGAACCTCACCATTCTGTTGTATTGGCATGATTTTGAAACACTAAAAACAAACTTGTTTGCTACTTTGTTCCTATTATGTGTTCTGTAGGACTGTTCAGATAACTGAGAAAGTGAGAGAAATAATGATAAATGCCGGTAGCTTTAGTGAAGACACATCGGGGGATTGATATTCTGAACCATCGAATAGGTGTACGCCAGAGAGCGTGACGACCCACCAGTGGCTGCTTTACCAGAAACAATAGCTGAATTCGTTTTCGCTCGATTTGACCGTAGATAGCTGGTCATATGCAGTCAAAGAAAAAAACGAAACTATCTCAGCAGACAATAAAAGCTAGTGACTTACAGTGGGTTCAATATAGATGGTTGCTGAGTAAGCAAAGAACTGGATTCGGGAATATCCTCTGTGGGCATAGCGACCGAGTTAGCGAGCAATTGAGCAATCTGTTTGGAAACTCTCTCGGCAATGGACTCACAACGTTGCAATAAACGAACCACCGTCATTCGCATCTGTAAAACCTCTTTGCACGAATCAATCAAGTTTGGCGATAGGAATCTCGTGCCTGAAAGACGGTTAAGGAGATGAGTGGTGTTGTCAAATGGCCGCAAAGACATGAGAATCTGAGCGGTTTTCTGTGAACAGCCGGACATAAGAGACAATTCTTCCGAAGAAGCTTCGTTGAAAAATTCCATTATTTGTCTACGTTCCTCGTTGGTTAGACTTAATCCCTGAAAAAGATCAAAAATGCAATGAGGAGGTTAGATCAGCAATTTTTTTCGTTCAGACACAATGCACTGGAGTTAGAATACTTACGTCATCAGGCACAGGTACAGCAGTTGGCCTGGACTCGTCTTTCGGGGATTTTGTCTTCCTTTTCCGGGGTACTACAAACAAAAAGCAATACTTCAGGTCGTGTTGAATCAACACAAGAGAAAGCCAAACGAACTCGTTGTAGCATGTTGAAATAAACATCGATCGTTAAGTTCCATTCGAGTTAACAAGTCGTAAACCTTATACTTGTGTGTTCTGATTACGAATACTTTTGAAAACCTGATAACTTGGATGAGATAAAACAAAGGTGTGAAACTGTTAATAGAAAGTGATGAAATACACGACCCAGTTGTGCAACAGTCATATTGCTCAGTTTATCAAATCACATACTGGGACGTGTACTTTAGATCACAGACAGGAATTCGAAGTTACAACATCGTCTTTACTCTAAATAACCGACTATTTAAGTCAATACTTATTGCCAAGATGATCCATCTAGAGAAATACGTAATAAATCATTCCTGAAGATAAACCACGTGCTTCAGTACGATACCGAAATAACCGAATGGCATACATCTAACCCTAACATTGCTGGTTAGCGCAATCATGCAAATATATGGCTTGCTCTCAAGTTTAAAAATTTGCTTTAGCTGCGTCCCTAGGCCTTTGTGTGACAAATAGCAGGCAGGACGGACCCCATAGTCTCGAAGACCTACTACTCAATGGTGAAAACCGGCAACCTAAGCCCCGGCGGCTTGGAGTAGTGAACCGCATACGGCCCCGTTAGATTAGGTTTGGTACTGAACCTGGAGACAGTAAAACTATCTACCAACCTTGCTTGGATTCGAGCCCGGAGCGTTACCAAGAAGCGTAACTGTTGAGTGACTTTGTCCATTATATGTATATAAAGCATCATAAGATTAACTCACATGGTGTGCTCACGACGCCAACAGACGCCATGTAGGTAGCTGCATCACCTTCTTTGCTATCAGACGTGTCCCCACTGTCTGCATCTGGTTTGAGCGCTAGTGCATTGCGTGACCTGCGACTGCTTGGAGTGGACTTCACACTGGTGCGCAGTTCACGATCCACATAACCTCGCTTTTTGATTTCGGTTTCGCAAACCCTGTTCGTACGGAAGAAGCGATTGCCAGACTGTGCAGGAGTGGGGCCCTTTGCCGCTGCAGGCTGTAAAAATGAACAATTTGAAAATATTTTAGTCCCGAAGTTAACTTTGAATAGTCGCAAAGTACGCTAACGGAACATTATGGAGAGCCATAAAAAACACCAGACAGATGCATATTAACGAACATGCCAAAATGGAAAACGAAACAAAAAAGAATCATGCATATCACTCTGATTGTTTTATTTGAGAACCAACTTTATAATTTTTATTACACAGGATGATTCACGGTACAAAAAGGCAAAGTTCAAGGCCAACGATGCATTCATTATGAAGGGAAATATACGTGGGAGGGAGAAAAGATTGGAGGTGGAGGGAAATACATAGAGAGCCTTCTCATGGCCTAGACCCCCTTCCTGAAAGTTGACTGTACATTTTCATACTCAATAAATAAAAACGAAGTAAAAAATTATTTTTTGATCAAGGATATTTCACAGTTCTGACGCCCGGGGGAAAAAAGACGGGCCGACACGTGGTGGCAGAAACCTGGGAAAAGTGACTGAGTGATTATGATTGAGATGAAAAAAATAATATGGGAAAGGGAACCACGAGGGCGAGTTATAAGGAACAGAAATTAATGAGTTGTGAAACAACCCCCCGGAAATGGCAAAGCGACTGCATGTGGGAGCTTAAAGGTGAGTCGGTGATCAGTCGAATAGCCTTACGCTGAACTCGAGCAAGAAGAGTTCAATACAAAGCTCCTACCCAGACCTGACTGTGATATTCAAGTGTCGGACGGAAGGTTTGTACAAAACACATAAAGCAGTATCTGTTGTGAACTAGGAAACCAAATCTGCGCGCAAAGCCAGAGGCAAATGCGAATATAAATGGAAACCCACAAAAATAAAAATTAAGTTTCACAAACATTATCTACTTAGGTGAAACGGTCATGGCTATGGTCTTTTGGCTACCCATTTGGCCGACCAATGAGAAACGATAGGAAGAAATCACATCAAGGAGCACAGTCAAAATAAAAACAGAGAGCAAGTAAAGTAGACATGCGTAGGAATTGAGTAGATACAGGACCTCCACTGTTTGTTATACTTGGTCGGATCAGTCTCCAACCATTGATTGAGTGAGTCACGAAGTCAACGATCGAGAAGTTTGATGCAACCCAAAGGACCGTAAGTCCCGATCAGGGTTTTCATACCCTAATACCCAGTCCACCTTCAGCCCTCCTGCACTCATTGCCTGGCTCCGTGATAACCGCACGCAAAGAAAGCGGTGACCCCGGTCCAAAAACGACAAACAAAAGGACGGGACCTCCTGCTGTTATATCTGAAAATGGCGTTCCATATTGGCAAACACGTCGAAATTGTTGATGAACCATGTTCTATCACACAAAAAGGCAACGACGCGTAGAAGCAATCAAAACGGTGATGATTAGAACTACTGTCGTAGGGAATATCAATTATCCTGAAGCAAAAAGAAGCCGACCACATAAGATGTTGAATAGTTTTTAGGGATCAAAGACTTGATTAACCCCAAAGCGAACTGGAATTTGTTAAACTTAGGCATATATTAACGACAAAGTCTAAGATATAGGCTTAGACCGCTCATAAACTAAGCATTAAACAACAGGAAAACAAATGCAAACAACACAAGATATTTTGAGAGTATGGATGGCTTATCATTAAAACGCTTGATTATAATTAATTGAACCGAAAGAGAACGAAAAATGAAACTTGCGAATGCGAAACGGAGAGAACGGGCTTTAAAGTTCCAAAAAACAAAATTATCACGTACTCAATGTACAACGATGATAGATATTTTATGGGTAGGTTTGCGCCGAAATCTTTTCGTAAACTAATTCTATCCATAATAATTTTGACATAAATTTCGCTCCTCAAATTATTATGGAGAAACCCAATGCTCTCCATCAGCCCGTAGAAAAGTTTAGTTATCCCCACTTTTGTTTTTATTCTCATAAAGTGCTAATTTGCAGATTTTGTGCCTAGATGTTCCTATCTCGCTAATAACCTGGCTAGCCCCTGATTGACCAGTTCCCTCATTTTTTTGTGATTTTGAACTGAACTAATAGGCTACCCGAAAAATAAATAAACAAATGAGTTCGTTGCACCAACTGCATTTAGATTGACTCAGATACATAACTTCGTCTGAAGGCCTGTCTTCCTCCTTCCGTTTGCTTCTGTTTGGTTTCGTTGATCGTGTTCCACTCGGCGTCTCGTTGATCGGACTCCAATTTACCGCATCTAACGGATACTCGATCGTACGAGCAAAGTGCATGGGCTGTGGTTATCGTTCAGCCCGTTTAAATCACACCAAAAGGTTAAATCAGTACCACAGAATACTAAGCGATTGGTGATATAAAACGCACGAAAGCTGAACGTCTAAAAATGCCTATTTACAGTAGAAGGAAAATAGAATAGTCCCTAGGACTATTCGAGACTTGGAATAGCCCTGACAGGATGTGTTAGCGTACCGATTGACGGCGAAACTACCTTCTATCAAAGATAGGTGGTGGTGGCAGGATACGCGCTCAAGATCACATGGCCAGAAGACAGCGACTTAAACCGCTTTAGCACCGCAATCCCAACCTAGGTCTATTCAAATTACCAAACCAAAATGTCCCCAAGAGAATGGCTGCCGTGCTGATCTACAGAATGAGTTTGAGTCGAAATTCTGATACCCTGATAAGTACTATTACCAACCAAAACCCATATACTCTTCGAAGCATTTCATTTGGCACTTGTGGTGACGCTTGTTTTTCTACCACCAATCTGGAACAGGTAAGGTATCATCAATGAACAAATAAAGAGGAAACTGATGCGAACACAAGTAGGAGGAAATGGAATTCAAAAACCGTGTATGTTTCCATTTGTTCAGTGTTTGCGTATTTTCGCCAAGGCAAGAGTAGGTACAGATGGGATTTCTTACACGCGCAGTGGCAGTGGCAAGATAAAAGTGGGCTTAAGAATGGACTGATGAACAGAAAGCAAATGGAAAAGGAAGTGTAAAAGGCAAATGAACGAATCATAAACCATGTCACGTATACAGAATAGTAACCAACTGCGTGGACCTACCAAACACATTGACCAAGGAAAGTACCAGGCAGAGCATTCACGCATTTGTGAAAAAATGACACTTGTTTCAATGTGTAGGGGGAGGGATAACACCAAACAGAGAAACACGAAAATGAAAACAACCACATCGGTCACTTAAGCATTATGGATAATACTCATTTATGCAGTGTAAAATACCCTACTTCGATTCAGTTCAGTTTATGCAACCATTAACCTAGCAATCCCGTGCAGCGGTTTTGGCTGCTGCTCTTGGGCAGCTGAAAAGAACGAGCATTAACTTAACAACCATTGTGTGCAAATTGTCAATGGGCTACCTAGAACTAACAAGACAAAAAGACTACGAACAGCTTGAATCACGATGGGTCACAAAAGCAACTTCAGAGACGCATCAAATTCAAATTCAAAAATATAGTCATCACTAGCTGGATGTATGTTAGAAAACAGCACTCGACTTATGTTTTTTGCTGTTTACTTTAGGGACTAGAAATGCAAAGGATGTCACCCCGATCGGAGGCAAATAACAGAATGTGAAGATGATAATAGAGAATTACCTGTGGGTTATCCAGCTCTTCGCCGAGAGGAATCATAGGATCCGGCAGAGGAAGGTTGACAATTTGAAGAGGAGGAGTGGGAAAAGGTCGAACCTGAAAGTGTGTAATATTGAAGCATTATATGAATACTGGAGAATCTCGGAAACAGAGGGCATACGATGCCTGCAAGACTTATATCATATCTGCAGTCAACCGAACAGGAACAAGAATACCGTATGAAAGCACAGCATATCAGCATTTTTACGCAACCAATCAGCAGTTTAATTCAGATTTGATGTTCTGCAGCCTTCTCATAATGCCCTGATCTGAACTGATCATTCATTAATATCATTTATCCCACACTGCTACGCACACATAACTGTAAGGTAAGTGCAGATTAAGTACCTAGCTCAATAGGTTTAATTGGGATGGAATACCTGATTTGGTGGGGTCTTTCGATTAAAGTAAACAGATTGCAGCCTGCGAAAGCCACAGTATGGTCGAGTTAGGTATCGTGGGTTGTGGCTGGTCGCCTTTCCTTCGTACCTTGCGAAACGCTCCCATACGACCTATCGTCTTAAATGGACTCTTTGAGGAAGCCCTACTCACTGCCTTCCAACTAAAGGGACGGGACGAAAAGCCAAAATCCGAGGCTATAAATGGGTCGGTGAACAAGTGGCAGTTCACCTAGGGGAGTTGGCTAAAAACCCTGATTCCAAACGCGCCAAAAAGAGGCGAACGAACCACATCCACTGACACCTTCCTAGTTTTGGTAGTTGCGGTAGTGGTCACTGGCTTAATTGGGCATCGAGGCGCATTGATCACCTTAGACGTTTGACCCTGTTCAATGGGTGTATGATCGGATGAACTGGACACCGGTCCCCAATGAATTGCGGTTCTCTCACACCATCCCGCTGCGTTGCGGGTCAGGCTTTGGGTAACCGAAGGCTCCGATTGTAGATTCCCCGAGAAAATGCACCTGCCTGGACCTGGGCAAACTGACAGTATTTCACCCACATGAAAAGTATGCAACTTTTTTCTTTGTATAAAGATTATTGTACCGTGATTAGTTTAGCACAAAGTTTGATCTCAGACGTGTGTGGAATATATATAACAAACAGTACACCGTATGGTCCATCTTTGCTGCCGGGTCCAGTGAATGGATTACCACTGAGGACAACTCTAGAAACACAAATGGGTATTTCGAGTCAGCATAGCTATGAGCTGGTTAACACAACGACCTCACGAAAGTTCAGAGCGATCCGGAGTTCGGGGCCCGGGTGGGAAGGTGAATAGATATGGTTGAAGAGCTCTCATGGGAGCGAAACTCGAGTCTGGTTCTCTCAGGTGTGTGATAGATTGGATAAACTTTACATTTTCTCAATTTTTACTTCCGTTTATTTAAATATATTTGTTATATTCGGAATACGAGAAGACAACAGTTTTCAGGAAGGTGAAGCTGCGAATCAAAGGGCTGCTAAACATCAGAACGGGGAAGTTAGGTGGTGGTAGTCGGATTCGAAACACGTCCTACGGAACGATAATTCGCTGCCCTTTACCACTCGGTCACTACCGCTGAGGATTGCGCGTGAAGATCATCTAAAGGATGATTAAAATCATCGTACAGCGGAATATAGTGAATACCTATTTTATAATAAGTAGTATGTGAATGACTGGACAAAATTTCCCTGGAAGCACACGACCGGTTTCGTGGTTCTTTCCGCTCTTCAGGCATGCG